GAGCGGGCCGAGGCGGGGGCCGAGGCGGCCGGGGCCTCGGACTCGGCGGCCGCCCTGCAGTTCTACTTGGTGCTGGCGCTGGCTCTCGTGTCCTTCCTGCTCCTCCTGGCCGTCGCCCTGGCCGTCCTGGACAGACTGCGGGGGTCAAGGCCTCCCCGCCTGCTCCCGTGCTTGGGCCCGGCCCCTGCTTCCGAGCGCGGCCCCTGGTTCCCGCCGACCTACGAAGACGGCACTTTGCCCTACTCCTACCAGCTGTGTTTGTCCTCCGACGCCGGGAAGGAGGACCTCGGCCTCCTGAAGCCGCAGGTGCCGGCAGCCGGGAGCATCCTGTGTGGCGCCAGCCCCGGGGTGTTGCCTACTGAGAATGGCTGTAGCGCCTTCCAAGCCGAGACGGAGACTGCGCGGGAGCTGAGGAGTATCATTTCATCCTCGTTTTGTTCAGGATTTTGATTTAGAAGTTTGTTCCTTGAAGGAGTACAGCAAACTGCTGGAAAAATTTTTCTTGGAGGATTTTTTCAGCTGTTCCGTTGTTTGCGACAGTCTTTTGTGCCAGCCTGAGTTTGATTGTATATACCCGTAGTTACCGAATTGATGTAGCAGCTTGTAAGGGAGGAAATGATGCTCATTGGGAATGCGAGAATTGCTCTTGGTCACAATGAAAATGTGACTCAGAAGTAGCCTCCATTGACTGCTTTAACTAAAAGTCCATCTAGTGAGTTAGTTAGTTATTAATGGGCGAACATACTGCTTCTGATAGCTGAAGACTTCATTAGCTCAACTGTATTATCCAGATGGATTTGTTTACCTCCGAAAAGAGCGATGTATTTCCTTTTTTGTAAAGAAAAACAGTGAATTCGCAGTAAGTTTGAGAAATAGGTTTAAAGATGTCAGCTTGTGATATAACAAAGTGGTTAGTTAAGCTAGATACTATCATATTAAGATGTTTTCACTCTCAAGCCTCCCACCTATGTTACTGTGAAAAATGTGGCCTTCTCTGAAGGTTTTGCTTGTTGGAGAGATGGTTGCAATTCTTACCATCCTTCATTAATGACAAATATTTTAAAAGACTTCTTTTGAAAAAATGTTGCTTATGGGGAATCAGTAATGATAGTACTTATAGGTTTTTTAAATTATTGATAGAGGGAAGTATTGATAGTTTGAAAGTACTGATATATTTTATGGCTTTAAGGTAAATGCTATAATATATAGTATTTTTAATGAAGTGTTTGATAGTTTTCCCAGTGATGTCAAAGGAAAATGGGCAAATATTTCTATAATCTTTTTCTTTGATGACATTAAATGTGTAGCACAGTCTTCTTTGACACGGGCCTCTTAAATTTAAGTTTTCTTTTTATTAGATCATTTTCAAATAGGAACATATGTTGTCACTGTGCAATAAAAACAGAATAATATATATTCTCATGTAAACTGTGTAGTATGGTTGCAGTATTGTTGTAGCCCTGATGTTCCAGGAAATAGGCGAGGAGAAAGTTTTATTTTGTGCTATGTGTTATTGAACTGACTGCATGCTTGGGAGAGAGATTAGAGTGCTTTCTGGCACACACTACACTTTTATAGGTCATGAGATACAATACACAGTGCTGAAGTGATGCTGTAGCCATAATGGTACAGAAAAAATGCAAGAGGCAAAGATTTCTGCGAATGATATCTTTTATTGGACCATCTACATGGTATGAATAGACTTAGACCAGTTTTTAAATGCAGCCAGAGGCAAGTATTTCTTAGGGTGATGCCTTTTTTGAACCAATTGCATAGTCAGATAAAGTTAGACAAGATTTTCAATGCAAGACACCAGGTCATCTTATGAAGAAGGTTTTGTTTTGGAAAGACGTTGTCTTGTGAAGAAAGGAAAAGGAGAGAAATGCTAGCCTGCAGCCTACTTTCCCCCTGTGGACATATCTGCAAGTTCTGCTTGCAGGTCTGTGGTTCAAGACTTGGACTCTTAAGTCACCTCAAGACCCATTAGTGACACATGGTAGAGATCATCCTCGAATTGGCAGCCTTGGCATTAGAGCAGCTGCTTAACACTATCTCAACTATTCAAACAATGATATCATCCTAGGAAATCCTTCTCGAGTAATTTCTGGACCATCAGGCTACAAGACCACTGTAACGCTGCACTTAAATTCAGCTGCCTTCTTCAGGTGAACCTTGTCTGTGTATTCCAGCTGTGCATTGTGGTATCTAATAATCTCAGGCTCTTGATTTGTGATGAGATTTGTGCAGGTGCTAGCCATTACTGTTTAGGGAAGTATGAGATTAAGAAGAAAATTATCTGGACCACAGAATTCACAGAGCAATAAAAAAGAAATTAGAAATTGCTTCCATAAGGCATATTATGCCTTGGAACACTCTCTTGTAAATCTGCTTTCCATTTTTCCTTTTACTATTAAAAGATGTTTGAAGATAAAACTGAGTAGAATATAGAAAATTAATCAACACATACTATATGGATGTCTTATCAAATAACTGAACTTATCCTTCCAAGAATATATATGTTTTTAAACAGCCTCTAGGGAAGTTCATTCTTATTTAGAAGGAAGTTTGTATTTAAGGGCAATTTGTATTTTCTTTTATCTATGGAGTCAGTAAAGGAACAAACACTTTCAGTAAAACCATCACTCATTCTATAACAACAAAATGTTCTTGAAACCATGGTTGGAAGAGGGACTAATCAGTCACCAAGGTCCATACCTGCCCAGTCCAAATATTGATTCCAGCTACCCTCAAAAGCATGGTTTCAGAAACCATGTTGAAATAGGAATTAAATGGTATTTCCACTTTCTGTACATGTGTCTCCTTAAGCAGTAATGTATATTGTGCAATACACTGACATTGCATTTGGACTTTCCAATTAAAATAAGAGGTATTATAACATTGGTTAAAACATTAAAATTAAAACTAAAGTGGGAAATGTGGTTTGAAATTGGATTAACAGAGGAAAAGTCATGCCTGGCCAACCTGATTGCCTTCTGTGAGGCTGTCTCTGTGAATGGGAGGAAAGAAGTAGATGCGATGTATCTGGACTTGGATATGACCTCCCACAGCATTCTTACAAAGAATTCTTACTTTTTCTTAAAGAAGTATGACTTGTATGAATGAACTGTAAAATGGATAGAATGCTGACCTCATTGTTGGTTTCAACGGGTAGTGATCAATGGCTCAATGTCTAGTTGACAGCTGGTATCAAGTGGAGTGCCCCAGGGTTTGGTGCTGGGGCAGGGTTTGTTCAGCATCTTCATTAATGATCTGGAAGATGCGATGGAGTGCATCCTCAGCAAGTTCGTGGATCATACCAAGCTGGGGAGAGTAGTAAATAATGCTGGAGTGTAGGACAAGGATTCAGAGGGTGTTCAACAAAGTGGGGGATTAGGCCAAAAGAAATCTTATGAGGTTCAACAAGGGCAAGTACAAAATCCTGCACTTAAAACAGAACAATCCCATGTACTGCTGCAGGCTTGGGGCCAAGTGGCTAACAGCAGCTCTGCATAAAAGTACCTGGGTTTACAGTGGATGATAAGCTGAGTATGAGTCAACAGTGTACTCTTGTTGCTAAGAAGGCTAATAGCATTGCCAGCAGATCGAGGGAAGTAATTATTTCCTTCTATTCTGCAATGGTGAGGCCACATCTAGAGTCCTGCGTCCAGTTTTGGGCACAGTACAACCGACAGAATGTTTGTGGGTGAACTGGAGACACTCCAACAAAGAACAACAAACATGGTTAGGGGGTTGAGGCACATGACTTCTGAGAGGCAGAGGGCTTATTTAGTATGCAGAAGAGAAGACTGAGTTGGGATTTGATAGCAGGCTTTAACTACCTGAAGGTTGGAAGATGGAGCTAGCCTGTTCTCAGTGATGGCAGATGACAGAACAAGGAGCAATGGGCTTAAGTTGTAGCAAGGGAAGTTTGGGTTGGATATTAGGATAAAACATACTCACTGAGAGGGTGGTGAAACACGGGAACTGGTTAACTAAAGAGGTGGTGGAAACTACATGCTTGGAGATTTATAAGGCCCGATTGGACGAAACCCTGGCAGGAATGATCAAGTTGGGGATGGCCCTGTTATGAGTACGGGGTTAGATTAAATGACCTCCTGAGGTCCCTTCCAATCATAATTATCTATGATTCTATGAAATATGTATTCGAATTGCAACACAACCCTAATGACACGAACTGAGAATTCTAAGAATAAATATACGCCTCCAATGAAAAAAGTATTTTCTTTAAGAGGAATATTAATTATTAACTTAGAAAAGATTCATGTGACAGAGCTCTTAAGATACTAAATTTTAACATAAATAAAATACATGTGTTAAAATTTATATGCGAGCCGCTGCAGTTATTGGTTGAGACTCTGAGCGCCGCTGTTCACCAATCGAGGCAGGGAAATGCGCCGAGACATCCAGGCAGCCCAGAGCCGCAGTCACAGAGCTCACAGCCCGCGACCAGGCGAACGGTCCCTCCGGCGGATTCCAACAGGAGCTCCCCTCGAGAAGCACTCCGAGAAACCGGCTACTATCAAGGGCCAGGGACCGCTGGGGCGAAGGACTGAGAACTGAGCGGTTGAGTGACCAGAAGACAAGTTTCGGTCAGTAACCGGACTCGAAATGGAGAAAGCACAAAGGCTGCGGCGCTGCGGAGAGAGAACCGTGCTGTACTGCGTGGTGCTGCCCGTGTGCGGGGCCGCTGCGGCCGGGCAGATTCGCTACTCGATCCCCGAGGAAATGCAGAAAGGCTCCTTCGTGGGCAACATCGCGCAGGACCTGGGGCTGGAGGCCAAGGCGCTGTCGGAGCGCGGCGTGCGCGTGATTTCCAGAGGTAGGACGCAGTATTTCGCTTTGAATGTAAAGAGCGGCCATTTAATCACGGCGGAGCGGCTAGACAGGGAGCAGCTGTGCGGCCGGGCCGAGAAGTGTGTCATCAATTTTGAGCTTCTTGTTGAAGATGAGGTAAAGCTTTTTGCAGTTGAAATCGAACTCACAGATGTGAATGACCATGCCCCGAGCTTCCAGGAGGGGAAGCTGGAGTTCAGGATCAGTGAGACAACTGCCGTGGGAACACGGTATAGTCTGGAAGAGGCGCAGGATCCGGATGTGGGGATTAACTCTATCCGGGACTACCAGCTGAGCAGCAACGAGCACTTCTCTCTGCATGTGCAAGCGGGAGCTGCTGGGGATAAATACCCCGAGTTGGTGCTGGAGAAGCCCCTGGACCGAGAAGAGCAGGCTGGTCAAGACCTCATCCTCACCGCCACTGACGGCGGAGATCCGGTCCGCTCCGGCACGGCGCGGATCCACGTGGTGGTGCTCGATGCCAATGACAACGCGCCCGTGTTCAGCCAGCCGCTCTACCGCGTGAGCGTGCGGGAGAACGTGCCCGTGGGCTCCGCGCTGCTCACAGTTAGCGCCACGGACGCGGACGAGGGGCTCAACGCTGCAGTCGCCTACTCGCTGCGGAAGACGAAGGACAAAGCGTCTGAGACCTTCCAGGTGGACTCTCGAACGGGAGATATCGTGACGGTGGGGACTCTGGACTACGAGGAAGAGGCCGTCTATGAATTGGAGGTTCAGGCAAGGGACATTGGCGATTTCTGGGGCCGGGCAAAAGTACTAGTGACTGTCCTCGACGTGAATGATAACGCGCCCCAAATCACAGTCACCTCTCTCTCTACGTCACTCAGTGAGGACAGTCCCCCGGGGACCGTGATTGCACTCCTATACATTAGAGACAAAGATTCCGGCGGAAACGGGGAGATCACGTGCTCCATTCCGAACCATCTCCCTTTTCGACTCCAGAAATCTTTGGATACTTATTACAGCCTGGTGACGGCCAGAGACCTGGACCGGGAACAGGTGGCGGATTACAACATCACGGTCACTGCCAAGGATAGCGGGACGCCACCTCTCTCCACCACGACGTTTGTGTTCCTAAAGATCTTAGACATAAACGACAACGCGCCGGCCTTCAGCCAGGCGGCCTACAGCGTGTGGGTGAGCGAGAACAACGCCCGCGGCGCCTCGGTGTTCTGCGCGCGGGCGGCCGACGCGGACTGGGGCGACAACGCCCGGGTGACGTACTGGCTGGCGGAGGGCGAGCTGCAGGGCGCGCCGCTGTCGTCGTGGCTGTCGGTGCAGGCGGAGAGCGGCGCGGTGCATGCGCTGCGCGCCCTGGACTACGAGCAGGTGCGCGAGATCCGCTTCGCCGTGGAGGCGCGGGACGGCCGCGCGGTCC